GGCGGTTGGTGACCCTTTGAGGAGATCCAGGCCTGTTAGGCCTTTGGCCTTTTGCGCTGTGAGGGCAGGAGCCCCGTATGCCTGTTCCTCCCCTCGCCTCCTGATCACCCTTGGGCCCAGCTCGCTCCACCCTGGCACTCGCCCAGGCCGGGAAGGCCATGGGAGGGCGCTCTTGCTGGATTATTGAGAGGTTGCGCCGGCTGGGCGTTTGGGAAGGGGGATGCGGACGAGACTGGGTGACCCGTGAGATTGTGTCTCGCCAGGCACCGGCCGGACGTGACTCGAACTCTGTGCCCACACTCAGTGTGTCTCCCAAGGTCTTCGGCCTGGGAACCGACTGCTAAAGATACAGCTGCAGGTCCACTGCTGGGTGCCTCGATGGAGGGGTCCTCGCTTTCTTGTGGTGAAGGCAGCTGGAGAGGACCCCTCGGAGACGAGGCCACTCAGGGTGGCGTACAAGGGTTTGAGGCGCCCGCCCGTCCCCCGTCCCCCGTCCCCCGTCCCGCCAAAGTGGCCAAGATGTTGAGGCACCTTGCTTTTCGCCTGCCAGGTTGGAGCCTGCTTGGCGTTTCTTTTTTTCGTCAGCGAAGGGCGGAGGGAGAGGACTGGGGAGAGGCAGGTTGCTGTTTCTGGTGCAGTGGCGCTGTGTGCGGCCAGGGAGGGGAGAGATGTTGATGTTTTATTTACCAGGAAAGGGGGCTTCTTTTTAGTGAATGTTGTGTGAGGTGTTTTCTGTGGTTTTTTTGTTAGTATACTTGTGTTTGCTAAGTCACTCCTGTGTGTATCATCAATATCTTATAAGTATGTGTTGTAGAAACCCGTACTGTTGCATCGTTGGAGGCTACTGCTTGATTTCTGAAGAAAATGATGTTTAACATTTTAATTAATCTAGGGCATGTTGCCCTCGTATTTTCTGTACTCAAATTAGGTTGATTGGTATGGCAGTGACGTATCATCACATGGGGCTTCTTTTTGTTTAGTCATTGAAACATTGTAAAACTGATTTTGCTGAAATGTGTTCAAGTCTGTGGTTATCGTAAAAAAAATAACTTTTTTTACCTTAAAGAGGTGAATTGTATGATACATTTTGCAGTGTGTGTAGTATTTTAACAGAATTTTTATGTATGAACATGCAATAGAAAAAGAAATTTAAATCAACATGTTATCATCCCTTTCCTAGAATCTCACAGTGATGCAGAAACTAAACCCAGATCTAACCGAAGGAAGAAAGTAAGGTTAATATAGTATAAATGGAATAGAGAACAGAGAAAAGACGAATTAGATAACTGATAGCCTGTTTACAAAATTACCATATCTTTAACTAGACTTTATAAAGAAATTGTACATCACTAAAGTTAGTATTGCTAGTGGGAATCACGGCTTATCCAGAGTGATACAATTGTATATTAATAAAAGTAGCCAACAAATGGCATCATTTGGTGTATTATCAGAAGAATACAAAAACATATGTAGCAATTGGTTATAAATAATTTAAATTATCACAACAGTTGCGATTGTTAGACCCAATGTCTTCCTTCATAAAGAGAAATTAATACCATTCCTTCTCAAGTTTCTCAGAAAAACGTAAAATCACGAAATTAAGGTCCATAGAAATGGAGCTTATATACAAGGCGGGATAGGTTTACTTTTCAGAATTGTCTCCTGTGATGTTGGAGTTTGGGAAGGTACAAAGTCTGCGTTATAGACTGGCATGATGGAAGTCCATGGAAAAGTTCATGTTGCAGTTGAAGTTGTAAGGCAGTGTAGAAGTAGGTTTCCTCTTCCTTGGTGGACCTCTGTTTTCTCTTAAGGTTATCAACTGATTTGATGAATCGTACTTACATTATGGATAGTAATCTGTACTTTAATTATAAATGCTAATCTCATCCAAAATAGACCTTCAGTTCACATTTAGACTAGTGTGTGAGCAAATATGTAGGAGTCATGGCTTAGACATGTTGACACATAAAATTAACCATCACAGCATCTTTTGTCATTTTTTATGACCAGTATTATCCTAATATCAAAGCCAGACAAAAATATCACAAGAAAAGTACAGACCAGTATCTTGTTTGACTGTCCACATAAAAATTCTCAACAAAATACTAGGAAGCCTCATCTAACAGCATATTAGCAGGAACGTGTCAGAATAATCCCAGGAATGCAATGATGGATCCATATGTGGAAATTAATATCATAGACACATAAATACGCATAAATAGAATGAAGCCTAAAAACCACATAATCGTGTCAATTGACGCAGGATAACCACTTGACAAAATACAGTACCTTTGTTTTAAATTGTAGTTGATTTATAATGTTGTGTTAGTTTTCTGTGCAGTGATTCAATTACACACACACACATATATCTCTCTTCTTTTTAAGATTCTTTTTTCCATTATAGATTATTACAGGATACTGAATATAGTTTCCTGTGCTGTACAGTAGGTCCTTGTTATCTATTTTGTATACAGTAGTGTGTTAATCCCAAACTCCTGATCTCTCTCTCCACCACCCTTCCCCTTTGGTAGCGATACGTTTGTTTTTTATGCCTGTAAGTTCATTTCTGGTTTATAAATGAGTTCATTTGTATCATTTTTTGGATACCACATAGAAATGATAGCATATGATATTTGTCTTTCTCTGTCTGCCTTCATTCACTTAGTATGATAATCTCAAGGTCCATCCATGTTGCGGCAATTCTTTTTCGTGGCTGAGTAATATTCCACTGTGTGTGTGTGTGTGTGTGTGTGTGTGTGTGTGTGTGTGTGTGTACACGTGTACATACTACATCTTTACACATTGGTCTGTTGATGGACACTTAGGTTGTTTCCATGTCTTGGCTACTGTGAATAGTTCTGCTATGAACATTGGGGTACATGTGTCTTTTCAAATTAGAGTTTTTGTCTTTTCTGGATATATGCCCAGGAGTGGGATTGCTGTGTCATGGTAACTCTATGTTTAGTTTTTTGAGGACCCTCCATGCTGTTCTCTATAGTGGCTGTACAAATTTACACTCTCACCAACAGAGTAGGAGGGTTCCTTTTTCTGCACATCCTCTCTTGCATTTATTATTTGTAGACTTTTTGATGACAGCCATTCTGACTCGTGTGAGGCGATACTTCATTGTACGTTTGATTTGTGCTTCTCTAATAATTAGCGATGTTGAGCATCTTTTCATGTGCCTGTTGGCCATCTGTATGTCTTCTTTGGAGAAATACCTCTTAGGTCTTCTGCCCGGTTTTAGATTGGGAGGTTTGTCTTTTTGATATTGAGTAGTATGAGCTGTTTGTGTATTTTGGAAATTAATCTGTTGGCCTGAACTTCATCTGAACTAGAACAGCTTGACTCATGGCCGTCAAATACACGTTGTTCATCGGATTTAACCATTAAAGAATGTCCACTTTGAAGATAAGGAGTAGTCTCCCTTCCTGTCATGCCAATGCTAGTATGCCTTCAAAGATACGGTTCCCTTCCCAGAGGCCAGGATCATGCTGGCTCACTGTGTGCATGCTTATCTGTAACCTCATCTCTGTTGAAACCTTGAAGGAAGAAACCTGTTGTGTTTGTTACGTGTTCTTTGTTCTTATGAGATACAAAATTGTGCTGAAAACCATGCTTCTCTGGGGTGCTTTCTTCCTTGGTGGAGGCTATACCTAAGAGTTATTCCTCAGCTTGCCACTAAGAAAACTCCCTCCTATTCCTCAGTGTAGATTGCTTTGGTGGAGGCTATACCTAAGAGTTATTCCTCAGCTTGCCACTAAGAAAACTCCCTCCTATTCCTCAGTGTAGATTGCTTTGATTATTTGTGTCGACATTGCTTGGCATAGCCGAATATCTGAGAAACCCAAATCTACTTTGAACTAGCCCTTGGCACTCTGCAGGTGCTGTGGTGAGTTCCTCCTTCTATCTGGACTTCCGTATTTTAAGTGAGGCATGTGACTTTTATTTGCGTCGTTAAGATCTGAGGATAACAGTACATTTCCTAGGTGAAAGGGACCTAGGAGTCATTTCCTAGGTAGGGAAAGCCTAAGGGGAACTTTGAAGTAAACTGGGTTGGGTGACCTTTTGAATTTGGCTTAAAATTGGGAAGGTTTCTAATATATAAAGTCTTAAGAAACTGTTTGACAAAGAGACTAAAAATCTGTCCAGCTCTGAAGAGAAGGGACGCTAGCTCCTTCCAGCCGAACGGCATTCTTTGGCTTAGTGCCTGAGGATTCATCCTCAGGACATCTAGCAGTCCCAGAGGGATCACATTATGGCACCTTTTAAGTAATTGATGACTTGCCTGGGGACACACAGAATTACAGTCAGCCCTCCATATCCACGGGTTCCACATCCACAGATATGGACACACAGATATGGAGGGCCAACTGTAACGGACGTGAGCATCTGCTGATTTTGGTATCCACAGGGGTCCTGGAACCAATCCCCGACGGATACTGAGGGCTAACCTTATTGAGAAAACTATACACTGAAAGAGGAGCATAACTTGGTGAGCTATACACTGAAAGAGGAGCATAAGTTGGTGAGCTCACAAAGGAAAGTTAGAGTCAACAGTTATGTTCTCTGAAAATATTCCGTACTTTTACACAGCTATGAGTTAGAAAAATGTCAAAAACCTTTAGTCAAAATTTTACCGCTGACAATTTGATTGTCTTCACGGAGAATCAAGTCATGCAGTTCGAGAATCAATTCACGAAGGTCAGTTTTATACATTTATTTCTGCTTCATGTTTTAGGTTACACCAGGAGATACCCAAACAAAGGTGATGGTGGTGGGTATGGTGTACCATTTAGTAGAGATAAAGGAGTTGGAGGAGGAGGAGGAGCAATTCCTGTGGGTAGAGGTGGCACTGGTAGAGACGGTGGTGGGGATGGCCCCTCACCTGCCTGTGGATGCAGTGGAGGTGGTCCTGGAATTTAAGAGCCCCCTGTGAGTCCATGCTCCTGTAATACAAATAGTCCAATGTTTAAATGCTTGCAATAGAATATGAAGCCCAGAATATACAGCAGTAGATGTTTGTGGGGTTTTTTTAAAAGCAAGTATACACTGCTTATTAATTTGTCAGCATTTAAGGACTTAATAGTGCATGCAAGGGACTTGTATAGATGTTTGATGAGCATTTTAAACACTACACAGTGACTACTGCTAGAAGAAGAGTTGGCATTCTCATCTAATCCCTAAGTGGGGCACAAAGGGTGTCTTACATAGCAGCAGCGACTGAGCTGTTTTCTACTACCAGTAATTAGTTAAGTAATATCCATTTGCATAAGAATAATGCTTATCCAAAGTTTTTCCTCTTTTTGGTTTGTAATGTAGGTATGATAAGTAGTTTCATCTCACTGTTTTAGAAGAGGAAACAAACTCTAAAAGTTTAGGTGACTGATCAAATGTCACATACTCATTTGAAGCATGATTAGGATCTGAATGTAGTTCTTCTCAGCCCTGTTTCCATTTCCTGTCTGATGCAGCAGCTATCGGGGTGTGGAAAAGGGGAGAGAGCCCGGCTCAGCTCTCAGAGATGCGAAAAGGAAAGTAGGATTTTTTTTTTTTAATGAAAGCTTTATTGAAAAGAAACCCAGTTTTATAAAGTGAAGCAGAATGAGGCCAGGAAAAAGCCACCAGACTGGGTCACTTGGAGTTCACTGGTCACATACTTCTTGGCAGAATTGTGGATACAGAACAATTTAAGACAAAACATCTAGTGGGAGTCTACTATATTAAGGTAGTCTTCACATGCTGCACCACATTACCTCCGAGCGTAAGCTGTCTTGAGAGTACTTAATCGGTTGTCAAGGGTAGACCACCTACTTAAGATTAACAAGCTCCCATGGGTACTTGCAAAGAGAATAGAATGTAGGTGGATCTGTGGAACTACAAAGTTTACAGGTTTTGAAATGATGATAGTCGAGATTGCAGAAGTATACAGAAAAATTAATCACTACTTCATATTCCCTCAAGACAGATGTCTTGACCCCCCACCCCCAATAACGATTTTAAGTGTAGAATGGGATCTTTTTGTCATAAATAATGTAGGTGGATATGTAAAGTTTTCATTTTTGAAACGATGGCAGTTGAGATTTGCAGACATGTGAAAAGCTTTTAGAATTTTCTTTTTGAAAGGGAATTCTGTGGTCCCAGTTTTTCAAATCATCATGATTTTCCTCTCAACAATTTTTGTTTCTATAATATATTCTGTCACAAAATCCATGGCATTTTTTTTAAAACTAATGAGCTCTTCCCCCGTATGGAAATTATGTATTTTTTGGAAAATCCTATCTGTAGAGTGGTTTAAACGAAAACAGATAATTGCCAGTAAGTCAGCTTTTGGTCACCTTTTCCTTCCATCGGACAAGATAATATGTGCTTTCATTACCTGGGTTTCATGCTGCAATTCTGTTCCAAGGTCTTTGAGTTTCTATTCCTATTTTTGCGGCTTGTCTTGAGTTTACGGTTGGGTTCTGAATTCTTCATTTTTCTGCAATGATGACCACTATAAATGTACACATAGTACACCTATCCCACACATAAATCATAAACTACCACATACTCTTTCCTTAGCTAACGTGATGAATTCAACAATTAGTCTTGTCAAGGACCATAATCAAACATCCATGAATGTATTTTGACCACACACCATTTTTAAAGGATTCCGAATATTTTTAAAGCTTCATGATTGTAAAGTTAAAGTTTTTAAAAATTTATTTAATGACTCCTTATGGGTGGAAATGT